TGTGTGTGTGTGTTTGTGTGTTAGTGTATGTGTGTGTGTGTTAGTGTGTGTTAGTGTTTTGTGTGTTAGTGTATGTGTGTTAGTGTATTGTGTGTTAGTGTATGTGTGTTAGTGTATGTGTGTTAGTGTATGTGTGTTAGTGTATGTGTGTGTTAGTGTATGTGTGTGCTAGTGTATGTGTGTGTGTTTGTTAGTGTGTTAGTGTATGTGTGTGTTAGTGTGTGTGTGTGTTAGTGTGTGTGTTAGTGTATGTGTGTGTGTGTGTGTGTGTGTGTCAGTATGTCTGTGTGTGTGTGTCAGTATATATGTGTGTGTATATCTGTATGTGTCAGTATGTCTGTCAGTGCGTCAGTATGTCTGTTAGTGCATGTGTATGCATGTGTCAGTATATCTGTCTGTGTGCTAGTATGTCTGTGTGTGTGTGTGTCAGTATATCAGTCTGTGTGTGTCAGTGTATGTGCCTGTGTGTGTGTGTCAGTATTTCTCAGTGTATGTGGGTGTCAGTGTATCTGTCAGTGTGTGGGTGTCAGTATTTCTGTCAGTGTATGTGTGTCAGTATGTTGATCAGTGTATGTGTCTGTGTGTGTGTGTCAGTATGTCGGTATATATGTCTGTGTGTCAGTATGTCTGTATATGTGCCTGTGTCAGTATGTCTGTCAGTACGTCTACCAGTGTATGTGTCTGTGTGTGTGTCAATATATGTACCTGTGTCAGTGTCTGTCAGTGTATGTGCCTGTTTATCTGTATGTAGTCAGTGTATGTATCTGTGTATCTGCTTGTGCGTCAGAGTGTGTACCTGTGCATCTGAGCCGCAACTTTAAATACAAATACACCCCTCCATTCAAACTTCAACACTACATATAAAACACACTCCTGCATTGAAACGTCAACACTACATACAAGCACACTCCTACATTCAAAAACAAACACTACACATAAATGCACACTTGCATTCAAACTCCAGTACCACATACAAACACATTCACACAAACATACTCCATACAAACACATGCTTACATTCAAACATACTAACATGGCTCAGTGCTAAATACAACCCTGCAAGCATGGGGAATTGGTAGAGTCCCAGCTGTCAAAGCATTGTTGGAGTTGCACGACAGATGGGGTTCTACCTTTAGTCCAACCTTGCAATTGGGGGTCCCAATAAAATTCATTCTACTTTAGTACCGCCACTGCGTTGGGATGGATGCCGTGATTACATACCAGGGAGTGAGGGGCGAGAGCGGCAGGGCACAGGGGGCCCAAGCAAACACTTGCCCAGGGTCCATTCGTTATTAAAGACGGCCCTGCCCCCCGATACACACACTGCCCCACAAACACTGTCCCCATACACATACTGCACACCCATACACACACTGCTGCCCCCCCATACACACACATACAGTGCCCCCCCATACACACACACTGCCCCACACAGACATACAGTGCCCCTCATACACACACACTGCAACCCTGACATACAGTGCCGTCCTTACGCACTCACACACTGCACCTTTCACACACACTTCACCCCCAACACACACCACTTCTCCTATGCCCTATATCCCAGCAGACCCCAGGTAAGTTGTCAAACTGTTCTTAAACGGTATGACTACTTACTCTAGGGTGGGATCCTGGCACCACTGGCACCATAACTTCTACACTGAGCTGTAGTGGTTATTGTGCCAGGATTATTTATTTAAATAATCTACAAGTGCCCCTCCCGAGTTCAGGCTCTGGATCCGCCACTGCTTTAACCTACAACAATATGTCCTCCCCACAGATTTTTTTTTAAATAGCGTTTTTTAAATGGATTTATGGTATAATAGTGTCCATTACGCGAACCCAATAAATCTTTTTTTTGTAAAGACATTTTAAAGTGTTTTTTTTTTTTTTACGTGCATTGACCTCCAGTTTAGATTTTGTCTCTCGTCCTATGAGATTAAAACAGGCCTTGCTGGCTCTCAGACTCTGCATCCCTCAGAGCTGCACCAACACCCCCACCAGGAGGGGCAGGGAGGCCCCAGCTAATGATCTCAGCAGGCCTCACACGCCTCACTTGGCCCACCGTTTGCTGTGCCCGTTGCCTGGTGCAGGCCGAATGCTGGGCGGTGAGAGCTGGAGCTCCTCCTCGCGCCGTTACCGTGGAGCCGCGAGTAAATACGCCGTGTGCAGCCCTTGGTAACAGGCACACCGCTTAGCAACGGGGACAGCGAGCCTCCACAGAGACACCGTCCGACCGGGAGACGAGAGCCGCCCTCCCTCACACAGCACCGGCCGGGGGCATTGCGGCCCAGCGCTGACAGCTGTCTGCACACCGATTAGCACCCGGCGGAGTGGGTATGGGTCCTAGACTGACTGACTGACTGACGGCTATATGTGCTATCACAGGAGCAGGGCAGACACCTGTAACTGTTTACCGATAAACCAACACGTTACTAGCCGGGGGGAGGGAGGGGGGCTATTTACCTAGGGTCAGCGTGGGTAAAAAGCAAAGTATTGACCTGGTGCCAGGGCCCTGGTAGTAGTGAGGTTCACTCAGAGGGTGGGAGCAGGGCATATTCACAAATACTTACACTAGTGGCAGTGGGACATTGTCTGCCAGTTAGCTGTTTGGCATGCACTGCTAACCACAGCATAGGTTACCATTTGTAATTGTTAAAAATAAAATAAAAGGTTCTGGTAGCTGTGATACGGCATAGAGTTAGACTGTTACATGGGGAAAACAAATTAGTGCCATTCCTTTTTAGTAGCTACCTCCCTCCCTCCCTACTGGAAGCAGTAAGATTCACTGTACAAAATGATGAAACATGAGGTTTTCTTTAATAGGTGTCCTGATGGCAGTGGAGAATCACTTAATCGGGTTAGGGATTGGAAGTTCAGAAATAGGTGACCTGGAGCTGTTTGGGTGGGGTTGCTGTTTAGTACTGGCAGTTGCGGGTTATTGTAACAAGTGTCCTGGTAGCTGTAGTGACACTGTAGGTGCTGAGAGTACTTTCACATTAATTAGCTCCGGGAGAACCTGAAGGATGGTGTATGGTGTTGGCTGTATATTTAGTACATGCTGGTATAGAATAGAACACAGTGGCTAGTAAAACACCTGGCATTATGTTCATGATGGAAGAGAACCCATAAGTGAGCATTTAGTAGATCAGACTACTAAACTACACTTGTGGCCGAAGCGTTAGTTGGCCACTCCCCATGAAATAAAGATTTTATTTATTTTCCTCTCCTATTGCCTTTCATTCCTAGTGTTTCTCTAATGTCCTTCCCTAGGGTAGACAAATTGCATGCTTCTGCAGTGCCCCCTCGCTAGCCCTTGCGTGTTTCTGCAGTGCCACTTGACAACCCTTTTTCTGATTTGTGCAAATAAGTATGTTGGCTTGTTTAAAGGGATCCTTTAGTGCCAGGAAAACTGCACTATAGGTCCCTACAGTGCACCCCTCCCTCGCGCCTTCCCCTTCCTCCCCCCCCCACGCGGGGCTGAAGGGGTTAAAACCCCTTTAGCTGCTTACATCAGGCGCCGCCCACGCTTCTCCCCCACAGAGTACAGGCGGTGGGGTAGTCCTAATGTGCATGCTTTCCTATGGGGAAAATCTAAAGCTGGAGGTCCGTGAGGACGTCCAGCGTCACATAACTGACCAAAAGTCAGTTTGGATTCCGGAAGCTCCCCCAGTGGCTGTCTGGTAGACAGCCACTGAGGGCAGACTTGGAGCTGCAATGTAAAGATCGCAGTTCTCTGGAACTGCAATGTTTCACATTGCAGCACTAAGTGCAATAGGGAGACAGCACCCAGACAACTTCAATGAACTGAAGTGGTCTGGGTGCCTACAGTGTCACTTTAAGTGACCAACTTGGTTCCTTAAAGGAATACTCTAAGCACCAGAACTACTGCAGCTTAAAGAGACACTATAGGCTCCCAGACAGGCACTCATTAAAATGGTCTGGGTGCAATGTTGCCCTTAGTCCTGCAATGTAAATCATTGCAGTTTTTGAGAATCAGACAGCCACTGGCGGCTCTTCCTGGATGTTAACAGACTCTAGGTCATACTCTAATTGGATTTCCTAACGCTTTGCATAAGGACATCAAGCGTCAGTAAAATCCCCATAGAAATGCAGAGGCAATACTTTCCTATAGAGAGGGGCTACTGTGCTCCCCGTGCATGCGCATTAGACCGCCCTCTCGGATGACGTCCGAAGAGGCTGAACGCCGACCCAGTGAAAATGGACATCGGCGCTGGAATCGAGTAAGTGACTAAAGGGATTTTTTTTTTTCCCTTTAATGTAATGCATCTGATACAAGGAGATTGTCATTGCAGCCTCAGCAATGCAAACATCCCCCTTTTTTAAAAGACCATGTTTACATGACTTCCCAAGTCCACCACTAGAGGCACCTTGTGCTGTGGTCCTGCAGTCTTTGTAGGACCTGCGTTTGGTGTCTAAATGTTCTGACGTTGCACACCTCTTTAGAAATGCATTGTGCTAGTGCATATCTATGAGGAGATGCTGATGAGCGCAGAGTGCCGATTGCTTTGTCTACATACTAGACCCCTCCCCATGCTTGGTTGGTTTGATGGCCTCAGCCAGAGAAGTGGTTGAACAGAGACCAGTGTGGAGAGGGACTAAAAGTAACAAAATCTTATTTAGATTATTGAATCCCCCTAAGAGAATAACTAAACAGTTAAACACTAAATACATGTTTTGTATTTCTAATGTTAGTGTTTATTAAATAACAATATTATTATTATCGCCATTTATATAGCGCCAACAGATTCCATAGCGCTTTACAATATTATGAGAGGGGGGATTTAACTATAAATACGACAATTACAAGAAAACTTACAGGAACAATAGGTTGAAGAGGACCCTGTTCAAATGAGCTTACAGTTTACTGGAGGTGGGGTATAAAACACATTAGGACAGGAAATAGCAATCAATTAAGGTGGGAGAGAGTAGAGTGCTGCCCTTTAGGAGAGAGCAAAAGACAGGTATGTGAGATAGAGGTTAGTCTGGGAGGCCATAAGCTTTCCTAAAGAGATGGGTTTTAAGGCACTTCTTAAAGGATTGAAGACTAGGGGAGAGTCTGATGGTGGTAGGCAGGCTATTCCATATGAAGGGAGCCGCCCGCGAGAAGTCCTGCTAGCGCGAGTTGGCCGTACGGGTGCGAGCAACGGACAGGAGAAGGTCACGGGCAGAGCGGAGAGACAGAGAAGGGGCATACCTATGGATCTGTAAAGAGATATGAGGGGCTTGAATTGTTTAGTGCTTTATAGGTATTGAATTTACTCCTATAGGATACAGGAAGCCAATGTAAGGACTGACAGAGGGGTGAGGTGTGAGAGGACCGACTAGAGAGGAAAATCAGTAGGTGACAGCATTCATTAAGACTGTAGAGGGGCAATACGGCTTTTGGGAAGACCAATCAGGAGAGGGTTACAATACTCCATGCTGGAAATTTACTCCTTGCTAGCATCTTGCGTAAGAAAGGGTAGGATGAGGGCTATGTTTTTATAATGGAATCTACAGGATTTGGCAACATACTGGATGTGAGGCTCAAAGGTGAGGCCAGAGTCAAGTATGAAGCCAAGACAGCGCGCTTGCAAGGATGGACTTAAAGGACCACTATAGGCACCCAGACCACTTCAGCTTAATGACAGCTGCTAGAGGCGCTTCCATGCTTCTCACTGTGATTTTCACAGTGAGAAGACGCCAGCGTCCATAGGAAAGCATTGAGAATGCTTTCCTATGGACTGGCAGAATGCGCGTGCGGCTCTTGCCACACATGCGCATTCAGCTGATGACGGCCAAAGGAGAAGGAGAGTCCCCAGCGCCGAGGGAACCCAGCGGGAGTGGGACCCTGAGGGAGGTCCCTTTAAGTGTATACCACTAACTTCTATATTATAATGAGAACAATTACTGGGACATAGCATACCAGGGTACTCTTTATATAGAAAAGATAGGGAAGGCAAGAAAGGGGGAGGGGTGGCCCTGTATGTGAAAGATAGCATAAAATCTAGCCTAATAAAAGTTAGTGAGGCAAACATAGAGTCCGTTTGGGTTACGTTAGAATTTGGTAATCACACAGTAACTCGTGTAGGTGTGATTTATAGGCCCCCAGGACAAATTGAAGAGTTAGATAATTTACTAGTTGAGGAAATAGGTAAAATGACAATGAAGGGGGAAGTTATCATCATGGGTGACTTTAATCTTCCTGATGTAAATTGGAAAACAAAATTAGCTACTTGTGCCAGGTGCACACATATTCTAAACTCCCTACTGGGATTGTCTCTAAAACAAGTTGTTGAGGAGCCAACTCGTAAAGAGGCCATACTAGATTTAGTGTTAACAAATGGAGATTTGGTATCAGATATTACTGTAGGTGAAAGTTTAGGATCCAGTGATCATCAGTCAGTGTGGTTTAATATAAGAACAGTGACTGAGTCACACCACACAAAAACAAAAGTTTTAGACTTTAGAAAAACAGACTTTTCTAAAATTAGAATATGTGTAGAGGAGTCATTATCAGACTGGAGCAATTTAAATGGAGTCCAAGAGAAATGGGATTATTTAAAAGTTGCACTATTGAAGGCAACAGAAAATTGCATTAGGCTTGTCAGTAAAAGCAAAAAAATCAAGAAACCACTGTGGTACTCCGCAGATGTAGCCAAAAAAGTTAAAAACAAAAAGTTAGCATTTAGGAATTATAAAAAAAACAGAGTGAGGAAGACAAAATGATCTATAAGATTAGGCAGAAAGAGGCTAAGCAAGTTATAAGAGCTTCCAAATCACACACAGAAGAGAAAATAGCACAGTCAGTAAAAAAGGGGGATAAAACATTTTTTAGATACATAAATGAGAAAAGAAAAGTAAAACAAGGATTAGTTAGATTAAAAACAAAAGAAGGAAGGTATGTAGAAGAGGATAAAGGTCTATCTGACTGCCTCAATTAATATTTTTGTTCTGTATTTACAGATGAAAATGAAGGAAAGGGACCTCAGTTGAGAAAAAGGATAAATGAGTCATTTATTACACGTGAGTTTACAGAGGAAGAGGTTCTATTTCAACTGTCAAAAGTAAAGACAAATAAGTCAATGGGACCTGATGGAATACACCCAAAGCTATTAAAAAAGCTCAGTGGTGTACTAGGAAAACCATTAACAGATTTATTTAACCAATCGTTGTTAACAGGAATAGTCCCAGAAGATTGGAAGTTAGCGAATGTTGTGCCCATTTACAAGAAAGGTAATCGGGAGGAGTCGGGCAACTATAGGCCAGTAAGCCTTACTTCAGTAGTGGGGAAAGTGATGGAAACCATGTTAAAGGATAGGATTGTTGAGCATCTAAAAACACATGGATTTCAAGATCAGAGACAGCATGGGTTTACTTCAGGGAGATCATGCCAAACTAATCTTATTGATTTTTTTGATTGGGTAACTAAAATTATAGATCAGGAAAACCACGAGAGAATAGAGACAGAGTGATTGAAGAGTTTGAAGTAGGAAAGCATGATCAATGGAGTCAAAAGCAGCAGAGAGGTCAAGAAGAATTAGTATGGAGTAGTGGCCTTTGGATTTAGCTACGATTATGTTGTTAGTAACTTTGATACGAGCAATCTCAGTAGAGTGGAGAGGGCGGAAGCTAGATTGAAGAGAGTCAAGGAGAGAGTTTAAATTTAGGAAGTGAGACACCCGGGCACAGAAAAGTCTTTCCAGAAGCTGTGAGGAAAAAGGGAGCAGGGATATGGGACGATAGTAGAGGGGGAGGATGGGTGAAGAGATTTTTGTTTTTGTTTTTGTTTCTCAATACTGCATGAATTATTCTAAATATTCAAATAAACCATGACCCATACAAATTGCATCTTTTGTTTATTTTCAATGTTGGTATGTAATGTTTGTGTGTCAGCTTGTTCATAAGTCCATCTTATTCTATAACTTTGTGCCACTTATTGATGGTTTCCAATAATTTTATAGTTCATGTTTTTTTGCACAATTGATGTTTCCTTGTAAAAATCCTGGAGTGCTGTGTGTTTTTGTTTCCTTTTTTCCCCCTAATTTGAATACTCTTTGTTATAGTTTTTTTTTTTTTTTTGTTAACCATTAGTCTTAGTAGAATTTTTATTTGTTTTGTATAGCAATGCACAGAATATTGACATGAACACTAGAAGCACTTACTATCAGTATGATGAAAGTTACAAATTGAGAAGAAGAAGTCCTTCAACACCACGGGAATCTACTAGCACTATGACTTATACTGCCAAGAAAAATACAGATAACAAGATGAAAGGCAATCAGAATTTAGATGTTGGTGAACGAGGTCGAGCAAGAAGCAGACATGATCCTGATAATGACAGAACCTCTGATGTTGAAAAAAATAGTGACTCCTATTATTCTGATGATTATGACAATACAACGTATGAGTCTGACCAGACACCAACACCAAGCTTTAAGTCTAGATCTCCGCGTGGTAAAAAGGTCAACCCAAAATTTAGGTCTTCTACACCAGAGCAAGGCAAAGGTTGGTATTCTGTTCTGTTCACATGTGAAGTAGGGTCTCAGAACAAGGACGCTGGCTGTGTAATCATGCTAAGTTTACAAGTAGGGGCTAAGTAAAGTATAATACAGAGCTTTGTACACGAGGCAAGGCTAGCAATGTAACTCCTAAATGTTAAAGAACTGAACACTGGGACGGCATGGCATGATCTATTCACCAAAAATATATAATTAAGTTAAAGTTCTTTTGGTGCTTAAATTATCCCTTTAACAAAGTATCAAGTAGGAATGTGGTTGGTATTGCCAGAACTATACATTGTAAGTGAGAAGATGAGTTAATTGGATTTGGTGTGTGTAGAGCCACCCATCCATCCATAAGACTTTTGTTTACAATTTTTAGGTTGGGTTTAAAGGGTTACTCAAACACTTTTTTAAAAAGACCTATATTTAAAAAAAAAAAAAAAAAACAACAACTTGGAAATGCCGTATTGGGCATTAATGGCTAGGTCACCCCTTTCAAACCTGCAAAAAGACGTGCTGAATCTTTCAGTCTGTTTCATTTCTGGTCTTCTGACTTTTTAGCATGACTTTTGGATGTGCTTGGATATGGAGACTTTCCTCTTTCTGGTATCTTACAAAATTTATTTTTAATTTCCTTTTTTTTATTTTTACATACATTTTTGTTATTGATAATGAAGAGGATATATGTTTTTAGTACAAAGTTGAACCTTGCAAACCATGCACAGCATTTTCTTTTCACTGCTGTATTTGACAAGCATGTTGTGTATTGCTTATAAATGTACAGTTCCTTATTCCATGCCTGCTGCCACATGGGAGTGATAACATGAGGGAATAGTTAAAACATATGCCCCTGTTTTTCATGTGAGATCAGCTGTGGATTGTTACATTTCCGACAACAGGAGTTGAGTGTTATTAACACTTAAGACGTTGTTATGGATTGTTAGATCCATTTTAGAAAATCATAATTCCTTGTTGATGTAGTTTATGTATGTTGTGGCCAGGGCCGGACTGGGAAAAAAATTAGACCCGGGCATTTTTTTAAATCACAACAGCCCACTGAAAAGGGGGGCGGGGCCAGATAGGGTGTGTTTTGTCATCCCCAATGACAAGCACACCCCATCTCAAACTGAGCATGTTGGTTCAATGCTCTTCCTCTTAAAATATAACCCCCTCTTTTTTTGTTTGCTTTGGTAAACATCGGGATAACATTTACTTGGATGATGGAACAAGGAAGCTCTTTAGACAAAAACATGTTTGCTGCATTGTTTAGCATGACACTACAAGCACCATAATCACTACTTTATTGTTATTTTGCTATGAGTACAGCCCCTTCAATTCTGTCAAGCCATTTTCAGTTGATATCCCTGGCACCTATAGCCACCGCCTTTTTGTGGGACATAACATTGAGAGTTTAATTTCCTCATTACTGAGTAAGCAATGTGTGTTCATGCTGAGCAGTGATAGATTCAGAACTGTCTGCATTGATTCAGAGTGGCAGGATCCTTTTACAACTCAGAATTGCACTATACTGTAATGTTGGTACATGTACTTGCAGAAATGCATCCAGAATATATGGTAAGAAAAAACACAAATGGAGTAAGCAGTCACCAGGAAAGGATATTGATGGCAATCGACTATAATTCTCAGTTAATGAGCAATGTTAAAGCAACACTATAGTGCCAGGTATACAAACATATATTCTTGACACTGTAGTCCTGAAGTGACTTAACAGTAAAAAGGTGATCTTTTCTCTCACACTGCACCGGTCTCACCGTGGGTGGCTCTGCCTCCATGGCTGAAATGATCAGTCTTGATTATCTGAGCCAATCAAATGCTTTCCCATAGGAAAGCATTGGGAGGCAATAGTGCATGCGCCAATCAATACCACCTCATAGAGATGCACTGAATCAATGTATCTCTATGGGAAATGTTTAGCATCTCTGTGCATTGAGTGGAGAAACTGAACACCAGTGGTGCACACTTTGCAGCCTTGGACTAGGAAGCTTTTTTTTTTCTCTGAAAAGGTATTGTTTACAGTGCTAACACTGCAGGGACATGCCATAGATACCCGAACCACTACATTACACACAGGCATCGAACAGAATACAATGACTGTTTAGGACCCCACCTGCAGGGAGTCAAAAATATATTTTACTTATCTTTTAACTATTGCAGCTTCGGTGTACGCAGGGAAGGTCCCCCTCCATTGCTGAGATCATAGAGGCCGATGATCATAGCCAATACGATGCTTTTCAGTAGAAGAGCATTGGGAGGCAAGTGCACGTGCACGGCATAACACTAAGCTGTGCCAATCAGGTGGTCAATGAGACCATCAGATTGAAATAGTAGATTTTTTATTCTGCCATTTAGAATGAAGCGCCTCTAGTGGCTGTCTGAGTGACATCTACTAGAAGCATTTAAACCCTGCAATGAAAACATTGCTGTTCTGCAAAACAGCAATGTTTTAAAGGGACTCTCCAGTGCCAGGAAGACAAATCGTTTTCCTGGCACTGCAGGTCTCCTCTCCCTCCCACCTCCCATCCCCGGTTGCTGAAGGGGTCAAAACCCCTTCAGTGACTTACCTGAGGCAGCGGCGATGTCCCTCGACGTTGCTTCTGAGTCCGCCCATGCTCCACCACGGCACACGCGCATTAGACCTCTCCATAGGAAAGCTTTGAAAATGCTTTCAGTGCTTTCCTATGGGGAGTTTAGAACCTGTGCTATGAAGCAGGAAGTGCCCTCTAGTGGCTGTCTAGTAGACAGCCACTAGAGGAGGAGTTAACCCTGCAAGGTAATTATTGCACTTTATGAAAACTGCAATAATTACACTTGCAGGGTTAGGTGTAGTGGGAGTTTGCACCCAGGCAACTCCAATGGGCAGAAGTGGTCTGGGTGCCTGGAGTGTCCCTTTAACATGGTGTTAAAACTGGGGTAGGAGGGGGGAGAGGCATTGAAATTAAGTGGTCTGGGTGACTATAGTGTTGCTTTAATAATCATCTAAATTCAGGACCTTAAAGTGCCTGCATGTATTTTTTTATTTTATTTTATTTTTTGAATGCTCCAAAAATAAGTAGTTGGTTTTTTTTTTGCTTTTGTTTGTTCTTTTTATAAGGTACATTTTTTTGACCCTAACGTTTATTGCTGTCTATGTATTTAATATTTTATAGGTTTCAGAAAAACAGGATCCAAGTTTTTATCAAGTAAAAAGTTACCTCAAAGGGGATTTCGTTCCCAGAGTCTTAACAAGGAGTCTCCTGCAAAAGACATAAATCTGGTAACCAAGAGAGTCCTTTCTGCTCGACTCTTGAAAATAAATGAGCTTCAGAATGAATTGACAGAGCTGCGCATCAAACTTGAGGAGCTTCAAAAAGAAAACAAGACCCTGAAGAAATTGCAATTCAGGCAAGAGAAAGCACTAAATAAATTTGAAGACACAGAAAGTGAGATATCACAGCTAATATCTCGGCACAACAACGAGATCCGGACTTTAAGAGAGCACTTACGAAAATCCCAGGAGAAAGAAAGGAATGCGGAAAAAAAACTTAAAGACACAGAGGATGAATTGTACAGGACAAATGCCACGTTAAAGAAATTGAAACAGTTGTCTGAAAATCGTCACTTGGCTGAGCGTGAAGAGCTAACAAGGAAAGTGGACCTTCTAGAAAGCCGGCTGGATGATCGGGAGAGAAAAGTCAAGGTACATTATTTAATTTCTCTTAAGTCATTGTTCATTTTCATTGATTATACATACAGTCATGTTTTTTCTAATAGATGAATTAAAACTATCCAGTTTCATTATTTATGAACTCCATAGTGATTCCTGATGCACCCTATTGCTGTTTGATAGACTTATTCTACCATGGTTGTCCTGTTCATGATGACCCACAATGGAATAATTATGTCACGTACAAGAGATTGCAGCACAAAGTGCTAGGAGCTGCATTTGGAAGGTTAATTCTGTTGCTTTGTGCCTCTGCATTTTCCATCTGTAAAGGACACTGTCAAACTTAAATAAAAGCGGTGTAATGTTTCCAAAATGTGTCAAATAACTGTATTCTCAATATTTTATATCATCCTGCATATTTTGTGAAACAGTATTTTATACAAATCAAACCCTTCTGGCTAGATAAAGTTGTGTGTGTGTGTATATATGTATGTATGTATGTGTGTGTACACACACACACACACACACACACGTTGTTGGCAAACCCGTGATAGGCAAAAGTTTGTTGAGGTGTGCCGAAACCGACATATGCTGTAGACCAGTAAATAAAGTGGGCAAAAATGAATACATATCATGTTCAAAATGCGTTGTATTATGTTATTTACTCAATAAATGCAAGTACATTAAGATGACATTTTAACGAATGCCCTTCATATTTTCAGTACTGGTTGGGGTATGTATATTGTATATGCTGATAACTTCCAGCGACCTAGAGTTTTTTTTTGTTTTGTTTTTTAATTCTTTATTTTGGTAGTGCATTATTCAGTACATAGCTTGGCATTAACATGTTATTAGATTGCGTTACAGAGTATCATGAGTAATAACGTTATACATGTTAAGATTGCTGCACATTTTTTTTTATATAAGACAAGAAGTGTTAACGAAATGGTTATATTCATTGCTTATGGAGGGAAACTAGTGTACTGCCACATGCTGCCTATTGAATATGATTACATGTGTCGAGGATTCAAGCTGGATAATGCCACAAAGAGCTCTATACAACGTGCTAGCGGGTAGGTAGTCTAGGACATGAGATTAAACACGTATTCAAGGTGAGGTCACTCATTAACGAAGCTCCTGGCACAAATCATCAGCTAGAGGATAGCTTAATTAACATAGCAATATAGTGTGCAATAGTAAGTGTGAATATGTAAAGATTAAAAAGTCAAAATTAAAACCACCGGCGATAGACCTGTCCTTATGCATGTCACTGTCCCCATAGTGTTGCTTGTTCCATCTGTGATGTAACATAGGGGGGCACTGCGTGGTCGGCAAGTCCGAGGCTGGGGTCAGCCATCTTCATTAGGGGACGAGGTATGGAGGTCTGTGTATGAGAGTCTCATGGTGTTTGCGAGCCGCTCGTTGGTTAGTGGCGTTTAGTGAGCCGATGGGCTTTATTGCTTTGGCGTCGGTTTAAGTCAGTGGTTTGGTAGGTTTTCCGTAGCTGCCGCCAGTGGGTTGCTTCAGTCGGCCTTTTTCCAGGCCCAGCCTCAGGTATATCAGGTGAGTGGTGCTTCCATGGGCTCTGTTCGCCCACGATACCTTCTATCTCCTGCTCCAACCCGTTCTCCAAGCAGTCAGAAGGCATGATCATGTGCAGGCTTATTTAGTAAGGGTATGGTTCAGCGGGTTGTTTTCGTCTGCAGGCATGCAAGGTTTGTGGTGTAGTGCAGATCGCAGTGCGGCCATTTTAGAGGCCCAGCTCGTGGTGCGCGCCTCCAGGTAGGTCCGGTGCTGGGCTTTGTAGGGCGATGATTCCCTCCGGTGGGGACCGGGATAACCCCCCCGGTCCATGGGGGGGAGGCGAGGCCTGTGAGGTGCATCACAAGGCTGTTGCGTGGCGGCCAGGTTCGCAAACAGGACAGCGGCCGTCCGTCCCGTTCTCCACCCTCATAGGCCGCAAACCCTGAAGTCCCGTATCGCCCGCAGGGGGCTCTGGCACTCCCGATCTCAGGGTCTGCGGTGGCTCCAGCTTCTGCCCGGATGCTTGATATAGCTTCAGGTCACTTAGCTTGCTTTATTGCTTAAGTTTTTAGCCATAGTGGACCAGATTGATCAGGAGCCTCTCCGGCCTGCGACCGGTCAGCATGGCGGTCAGGCCCCGCCCCCAGCGACCTAGAGTTTTAATGACATGGACTGGAACGTCCTGGCTTGACGCCGTAGATGCGGCCCCTATCCTAAACGAGTGTCCTGAATAAAGGCTAGGGTTCATACCGAGCCTTGTTAACAATAACCGTACGTATAACATGAACTTAGAGGTAGTGAGTATAGCCCTGTGAAGTGACAGTAGCGGAAGAGATGTGATATTCGGCACGGTAAGGAGGTAGGAATCGAAAACCTTCACCGGGCACCATATATTATTCGTGGGATAGTATGGAATGTGGACGGGTTAACGCAGTTGACTAGTTTTGGCCACGGGTAGAGTCAGTATGTAATTATATTGATGTTTAATTAGGTAGGAGCTTTGAAGGCAACCTTGTGCTTTGTGTTGGCCACTGATGGTGAATTCTCATGGCCTCAGGAAACCGTAAAAGACCAGATAAATAGCGGTTTTAATTACTGTTAGTGAGGGGATTAAAAGGGGCTGAATCGTGCATATCAAACATTTTTGATACCCTTAAGTATAGTCTGACTGGATAGGATGAAATGAAACGGGTGGTGTTGGAAAGTAAAGAAACATGTGATGTTGGATGCCAGTCAGGCATAACTTGATATAGTGAGCCTAAATTGAAGGTGGCAAGAAATAAAGTAGTGAACACAACAGAGACATAATGATCAACATTATGTAATGAAGGACCACTTACCTGTGATGTGAGTAGTAATGGAGAGACTTGGTGACAGCAATTGCTGGGAGACCACAAAGGGCACAACAAATACCTTAGAACCTGGAGGAGTAATACCGTGTACATTAAATAGCGGAATCTGACAGACACGTGAGCCCTACGAGGGCTAAGGAAATTGTTGTAAACATGTAAGTGACAACCAATATATACCTTGCAAACAATTGAGGGGTAACACAAGCGACTTAGACTAAAGCAGGTGGCATGAATATCAAAATACCATCATATGACGTCAACCATAAATTAGTAGTATTGAGGCATATAGAAAAATTCTAATAATGCAGAAACTCCTGGAAAGTAAGTGAATCGTGAACCTGTCACATGTATAAGCTTGTTGCCTGAAAATAATGGGATAGCCCGGAGACAGATAAGTGATGAATGTAGATAAGTGACTAATATATCGAGGGACAAATTGATAAAACCAACTTATATAGGGGAAATAATATAGTAGAAAGGGTTGAGAACTGGAAAAGTATCAATACTGAAGAAAAACCAAAAGAATAGCATAGGTGACTAGTATCAGTATCAACAAGAATATGAAAAGTATCTACAAGGACCATAACGGTGGACAATTCAAGCTAACAAGTGTATGAGAAGCAAACCAACAACCCCTAATCAGTATAACTAAACCAAAGTAAACCTTTGTAAGCCGATGAGTCCTATGAGGGTTGTAGTTAATGTACGTATAGTGAATTTATATAAAAGTTAGTTTATATTTGTAAACCATATGTGTAGGCCCAAGTTGGGCTTGACATGATTGATCCAGTAGGGGGCCCAAGACTTACAATAGAAGTTGTTAATATGTTAAAGTAAGGGGCCTAGTACCGGAAGCTGAAGAAGGCATCTCTGTGAAGCTATGTAATAATGAAATGCTGACTATGAGAGTAGTGAAATTCACCCTGACAGAACAAATATAGTTGGTAGAAACTGCCATGGCGACGTCTAT